TATTAATGATATAATTGTAATAGATGTGACAATAAAGTTTAAAGAATTATTCAATAAAAAACTCATTGCTGAGTTTCTAATTAAAGAACTTGACAAGCTCAAATATTTATTTAATATTGCAGCGACACTGCTAAAAAATAAATATTTATCTTTCAACAAAAGTATATTATGGATTTATTGTCAACAATAATTGATGATAAATCATTTGAAACTTTAGTTAAATCTGTTAAAAAATTTATGAAAAATGAAGATGGAATAAAAGGTGAGTGGACAATATAAAAAATTAGTTTGAAAATTAATCTATTTATCTCACACCTATATGTCTCATAAGCTAGTTTATACACAAAATCAATGAATCTTATCTTCATGTTGCTTACAAAGTCCCAGTTATTGATATCAAATACTGCGAAATGAACTCTCTAGAAAAATATGAAACCTTACATATTAATGGTTATATTTATACCTATTGTGTGTGATAACTAGTGTAATAACTGAAGATAAATAATAAAAAAAGGGAGAAAAGGAATTTCGAATTGACGTAAGGAATAACTGTCGCTTTAGTTCGATTATTGGACTTGAGGGAGCGTTTTTGTGGTCCATTTACCTGTAGCCTTCAGAGTGAACGAGGAAGTAAGAGAGGAGAAAATGTTATATCTAAGAGCGACAAAAGAAGGAAGAAACAGTAGAAGAAGGGGAGAACTTTCAATGAGGAGAATAATAGGAGAAAGAAGAAGAAAAAGAAGAAGTCGAAGTCAGAAGGAAATCTGTGTTCCCTAGTCGAACGGCTTCGTCAGTCTTTGTATGTATAGAGGAAAAGAAAGAAGAAGGGTTGTGTATGTATCTTACCTGTTTCAATGTCAACCTAGCCGCTCGTGCATAGAGGAAGAAGAAGAACGAGTGGTTCTGTTGAGAAGGGAAGAAGTTCTTACGGTACCATGAGTGAAGTTAGGGTAGTCAAGTCGTACGAAGGAGAAGAGGAAAGTGAGTCGAGTTTCCAGCGGTGCTCGTGTGCGGGAAGAAGAAAAGAAGAGGGACTCAAGCTATTCTATGTCAAGTTTAGACCATAAAAAGAAGGACAAAGGGGAGGAGAACGAGCTCTGCAGCGCTCGCATACACTTTTTTGGGTGGAACCGCGACCGAAGAAGGAAGGAGGAGGGAGCTCAAGCTCGCGCGGTCTAACAGAAGTCGAAGGTAGGAAGAAGAAACAGATGAGCGGGTCTTCGTGCGTTAGAGGAGATGAATAATGGTTTTAAAAGTAAAGGATCAAAGTTATTAAAATCCTGGATTTCAAGGGAGGAGTAACACATACATTTTGTGCGAGGGAAAAATGAAAATTTTTTTGGGCAGCAAAAAGTTTTTAAGGGATTTAAGAAGTTAGGTTTAAAAAATTAAGTATTTTGGATTGTGAATTTTGTAAGGAGTAGGTAAGAGATCAGTTGAGGTGGTTATCCAAAGTAGTAAAGTGAAGGGGTAGATATTTTAGAGGTCTCTTAAAGTATAATGAGTGATTATTTTCTTTTATGAATTAAATTAATATTTAATTAAATGAATAATTACAAAAAAATGATTTAAAACAAGTATTTCATTCATGAATTGCATTTTGAAAGTCTGAAATGTCTGAAATGGTAAAAGGAATTAAAGGAAAACAATAGAAGGATAAAGATATATTTTAAATGATTTTTGTTTCATATGAAATGAAAGGTAAAAGTTCAAGTCTTACAGGGTTACCCCGAGATGGTACCGGTAGGGGATGCAATGTGTCCGTGCAAGTTAAATGAAATGGTAAAGGTAATCTTTAGGTACAATTTTGATTGTCTTCGGACACATTTTTTAGGTTACTTTCGGTTGTGATGGTAATCCTGTCATGTCTATTAATGAGGTTAAATTGGTAAATACTTAAAATGAAATGTGAAGAGATAATTTTAAAGTTTAACTGAAATGAACTACATTTTCTTTTTATCATTCATGCATAGCATAACAACATAAGAATTTAATACATCTTAGATTATAGTTACTCACTAAGCTATATTTATGTTTGCAATTAATATTTTCTTTCAGGAGAATGAATGTTTTAGGTTGATATGTCAGGTAGAGGAGTTTTGATTTACAGGAGAAGAACTGCCGTTGATTGATACCAGTTTATTTGGTGTTTGATAGTTTATTTGTATTGTTTCTTTCAGATAGTGATACACTGTTCAGTTATGGTTTGAGACATGATTTTTAGATTATTGTTGATGTTTCTGGATGTTTAATTTTATTTTACTTTGTGGATTAATGACTCTTTAATATATTGGAAGTTTCTGATATTTTTAGAAAAGTAGAATGAAATATTGTTACCATCCTACCACAGTTCTTACCTTAGTCAATTTTAAGCACCGGGTCGGGTCATGACAATTGATGGATAAAGTAATCGATTAAAAATATTGTACATTACGAGGAGAAAATCTATTTGATTTGGAGAAGTGAGAAACAATTTAATACCTCAAGATCAAATATTTATGAAAATTCGAAGAAATTGCTTATGTTATCTGTGAACTAATAAAAATTAAAATTATACTAGAATATTTAAAAATCAAATGTAAAGATTTATGAGGATATAGTGTGACAATGCTTCCATTAATATTCCCATAATCTAGTATAATATGATTGAATCAAACATATGAAAGTGGATAGCATTTCATAAGAGAGAAATTAAAATGTGAGTTAATTTCATTATTTATTTTTCAATGGGAAGTTAATTTACCGATATATTAATAAAAAAGTTTTGCAACCCAACATTCAAAAATATCTTAAGCAAATTTGGAATAATTGATATCTACCATTTGACGAGAGAGTATTGAAAGTATTAGGGTTTCAGGATGAGGTATAAAAGATGCTACGAATTCATATGCTAATTAAGGGAAGACATGTCTCATATTTATGTGCCTAAAATAAAAAAATGTGCTTGATGAGAAAAGGGAGGGCATCCACTTTTTCCTAGCAAAAATAGAAAATTTTTTACAATACTTTTAATTTTTAAATTTTTTTAATATACAGTTTCACTATTTTTCAATTTTCTTGTATATAAATACCCATTTAGGGAATAAACCTAACAAATTTTCTAGCTATTTCATTTATATTGATTTAATTTCAAGGTAACTCGATCTAAGAAAAAATTAATCCAACTCTTTAAAAGTGATGCAAGCCAAATAATTGTGATAATACTGATGATGATGATAAATATCCTCGATAATTGACCTCGGAAAGCCCTCTCTAAATGCAATTATACTAATTAAATTTGAAGAAGTTTTAATTGGGAAAGGTTTAGGAAAGAAAAGTGTGAAAATTGCTTAGGATAGATTTAACACTTTGAACTATACTTAGTAGTAATGAATAAAGAATTAGAAATTATAAAGCTTACTTCTTATTGTAAGGATTTGACTAGTGACATTCATCTGTTGAAATGCTTAAATTTTTTTTTTTTTTCAAGTGGTGGTGGTGGTGAATGATGATAGTTGGGGCTACATAGATTTTGTACATTTGAGCAGTCACAAAGATTCTGATGTTGGATCCTTGCTAGTGTGACAGAAGTGGACCTGAGACATAAAGGTGTATGGTTGGAGAAGCACTAAGTTTATTTACACTAAGGTACTAGGAAGTAGGACCACTTCTTGGCAAAAGTAGAGAGCCTGGAAGGCCCTGAGAGCAGACCACTTCCTTATCACTGTCTTTTTTTCTAACTTTCCTTTCTCCACCACTAATCTTCTTTTTAGTTAATTTCTATTAACAATTATTAATTACGATGGACCACAGTATCCTCCCATTTAAATAAAAAAAGATGTTGAAAAAGGTTTTGCATCCATGTTTAATTAGGAAAAGGAGGTGTTCTTGTTTTTCACTGTCATGTTTGGAGTACCTTGGTGTACCTTTGCTGTACAACTCCAGAGAGAGCACATTGTTTTGGACTTTCAGCATTAAATATAGTATTTCCTAATAAGCCTAACTAACTTTTGTGCTGTTTTGCTAAAATTGATTTCATCATTGAAAAATTTGGATTTTTTTATTCTTTTATTTTTGGGGAAGGGGTGGGAGGGAAATCATTCACTACATTTTAAGTAAATTTTGACAGCTTCATGTGATTCATATTAAGTTTCATATTAGTAATAAGTAGTTGAGTTTATGGGAGTATTTATATTCATTATTATATGGTTCTCAATTTGAATTGCTGTTCCACACTCCTAGCTTTCTATGCATTTTGTACGGAAAAATTAAAGTAATGAACAAAATTAATGTCGGTGTCTTATGATAAAACCTATTGAACTATTTTGAGCATTATTTTTTTCAGGACGAGAGCTTTACTTAAGGTTTTATAATAGCTCATAATTTGTTTTAGAGTTCATTTGGGACAGTTGTAATTTTTTGTAAAGATGAATCGAAAACTGTTGTGGAAAAAGCTTTTTTAAAAGCTATTTTGAGTTATAAATATTTTCTTTTTCAAAAAAATCTTACAATGATTTTCTTATCGTTATCACACTTTAGCAAATTTTTTTGCTAAAAAGAAGTTTCTAATCATAGAAATTTTAGAATGTAGAAGATGCTGTCCATTGACTAAAAAGAATCTTTTTTGTTTAGTCTAGAGTATGAATCTGGCTACTATTGTTTTTTGGTTATGGCTATTAAAATAATAGATATGATTATTTTAACTGAATGTGAATATCGTTGCTGGATAACATAGTTTTGAATATCATACAATAGTAATCAGAGCCATTATTTTAATAATGACATCCCAAATTGAAGTCAATACATTCATGGTTAAAGCAATTCACACAACTTTTATGTTATTGCTTTTCCTTTTATGTAAATGCAAAGCATCTAACTGCCATCATCTTTGAAAGCATGTTGATTATTTGATTTTCATGTCCATGATCACATCATCAAAAAATCCTGCATGATATGTGGAGATTTGAAGCTATTCATTTCTTAGACCAAAAAAAAGAATAATTATCTAAGATTTTGCATTGCTAGTTTCAAGCTGGATGACAATACGGAACATGAAATAAACTCTTAAAACAAGATAGCTTGGAATGCAGCTTTAGAACTTCCAAATCCAGTACATGGAAGATATTTACTTTAGCACAACACATACATATACTTATCTTAGAGTTGCTTCACATCTATAAACAAAGTTCTCTGTTAATGATTTTTAAGATTCTATACCAATGCAGAGCTCGTCATCATCTATTTTCCACAGAGATTCAGCACAGTTTTCCCACGCAGGAGAAGCCATAGCAAAAGCGCACGAGATGTTGCAAGCCCCACTTCCATAACTTTCAAAACTCAAACCACTGGTCGTTGACTCGAATGTGGCTGCAAGCTCATTCCATATTTGATCCATGGGGTACACCTTCACTTCATCTTCTTCCTTAATTTCTATGGGTTTTTTCATCATATAACTACTTTGTTCTTGGTTTTCCATTATTCCACTGGTATCCTCTAGCTGCTCACTTTCAGAAGAGCAGGATGAGGAGAGAGGTGAGCATTTTTTCGTCTCTTGTGCCATCTTCCTCATGTGAGTTCTCCAGTAGTTCTTGATCTCATTGTCAGTGCGACCTGGGAGCCTTTGCGCTATCCTTGACCACCTAAAAATACAGAATTGGAGCACGAAACAAGGTTACCAACATTGTAGTAAAACATTTACGTAGCTTATTTGCCCATCATCATTCATTTTACATTTAGATTTTTGTTCATCTCATAAAAAAATTATCATGATAGAGACTCGTGACAAATCTCTACATGTACACAAATGGCTACATAGCTATAACTCGTACGTAAAGATATTCATAATGGACATAGTTATAGAAGACTTTATCTCGAACTCAAGTTTCCACCACTAAAGTAATTGAAGTATGCCAAACCTATTCCCCCATTGAGAGTGGAGATCTAGAATGAGGCGCTCCTCTTGAGGCGTGATGCGACCTCGCTTCAGTCCAGGATGAAGGTAGTTAACCCAACGTAATCTGCAACTCTTTCCAGTTCTATTAAGACCTACAAGAAAGATTGAAAATAACACTGACATTCATTGGGTGTAGAAAACTAATAAATACTTGAGACTTATCAAATCCAATCCTCCTCCAAAATCCTCAAACCTGAGACTTTGGCTATGAAGTCCCAACGGCGCTCACCGAACAAGCTAACAAAGCACACCAATTGCAGATCTTCTTGCTCCGTCCACGGCCCTTTGCGAATTCCTTTTGTCACCACCATCTACTTTCTGTGAGCTCTTTGTTCTATGCTTCCTTCTTCTGTTACTACTATAAGCTTCTGATCTGTTCCTTTATAGGCTCGCTTGGCTTCTGTCATGTGTAGACTTCACAGTAGTTTATGATGTTTTAGTGTTTTGGTGATGTATCTATTATCTATTGGAGGAGAGGAGGACGTGGATGGAGGGTTTCTGATGTGGCAGAGATGGTGTAGATTAGTGGATGAAGTACGAAGCAGTTTTAGGATACATTTGGTAGTCACATCAAGTCCCTATAGGCCTAGCTGATCCTCTAATAATTTGGGTGTTTCTCTCAATTTGAGGGAGATATTCAAGAGTTGGGATTGTGTTCCCTAGTAGTAATTTAAAAGAGTGAGGCTGGTCTTGGAAAGAGATGTTTTAATTTTCTATATGTCAGGTCTTTTTTTTGTGCATTGTTAATTTCTTTCCTTGGATTAAATATTAAAGTGAGAAAATAGTTTATATTTATTTACTGAAATAGCAGTTTTAAATAAAAAAAAGAAAAACAAAACTGAATAAGAAAATCTCAACTTATTTAACTGGGATAAATTTATTTATTTATTAAATTTTGTAATGATGAACATAATATAAAAGTTGGTTAAGTATATATTCTATTCAGAAGTTTTTGACTTCATATGTTTTATAATATTTAAAATTTGTCAAATACGACTATCGTCTATTTTTCTTGAAGAAATATGCTTGAGGTTTGTTTTGAACTAATGATCACGCTTTTTAGTCCAGGACTAATTATTTGAAGTTCAAATTTAGTGAACTTAGTTTGAAATGGTTTTAAATCTAACCTGGGTTTAATTTGCCGTGCTCAAATTATGTACAAATAACATTCAAACTTTGTTTGAATCAATACGAACCTTATTCAAATTAAGTTTGAAGATAGTTCAAACTTAGGCTGTTTTGAACTCATGTTTCAACCTTGTCGGAACTCCTAATTTGAACCTAATTTTGATAACATACGAGCCTTGTTTTTTAGTACAACCAATCAGCTACATTAATCTTTTGGTATTTAATGTAGGGAACATATTATTAGAGTGACAAGCACTAAATCATTGCATAATTTGGTATTTAATGTAGGGAACATATTATTAGAGTGACAAGCACTAAATCATTGCATAATTTGGTATTTAATGTAGGGAACATATTATTAGAGTGACAAGCACTAAATCATTGCATAATCAATAAATGATATTGCTTAAATGTGGAGGTATAGGAGGACCGCCACCCTATTAGTCGGAGACAATTTAGGAAACTTATTGATTAGTTTTATTCTTTTCCTATTTATGTTCGTTTCATATTTTTTTTTTTCATGTTTAGGCTAGATATATTTTGTAAGATTGTAAATTCGGAGAGAACTAGTTTACTTTTATATGCAACCTTAGGGTTGAGATTGAATAAAAAGAATTACGAGAATTCTCTCTCTTGTTTTTCTTAATGGTATCAAGCTCCAGGCTCAGTTTGGACGGGTTCAAGGCATCTTTCATCATTCAACTTCGACTAGATTGTTTATCTGCATCCTTCGTCTCGATCGTCAGTGTTGAATGATTTGATTGGATCAACGTCATCTCCTATACTCTTCATTTGAATCGGTCGTTCGTTTGTGTAGTATGCATCAGTTGTGTATCTTCATTTGAATCGGTCGTTTGCCTCTGTGTATGCGTCATCTGTGTATCTTTGTCTGAATCTCTCGTTTACTATGTCTAATTGCACCGTTCGAAGTTTCCACAACACCTTTCATCAAAAGTTCTCGACTCCGACTATGAAGCTTCCTCCTATTCCATTGTGTTGTCTGCATCAATCAAAGCAAGGAAACAAACTCTATGAGAATTATGAGAATTCTCTCTCTTGTTTCCACAACACCTTTCATGTGTGTTCTTTTTGATTTTTTTCCTTTTCAAATCATTGATATGAATCAGGAGGAGATTTAATCAAATAAGCGAATTATACGACGATATATAAATAGACAAGCAGACGACCCCGAATGCTATAAAAAAAACTGAGAAAATAGTTTCACTCAAGCCTATATAATTAACTATCAGGAGACTTTTGTACCAGTTGCTGAATTGAACATTATCAGAGTTTTCCTCTCAGTAGAATTAATAAGGAGTGGAGGCTGCATGAACTTGACATAATAAATGACTTCCTAAATGGGAATATTGAAGAAGAAATGTATATGGAGATACCACTAATATTTGAGAATGATTTCAACAGACACCTAGTATGCAAACTCAGAAAGCCATTATATGATCACCAAGAGCATGGTTTGAAATATTTGCTAAAACTATGTAAATCTAATGAGTACTCTCAAGATCAAGCCGATCATATGTTGTTCATCAAACACACTAAGGGAGGAAACATAGGAGGAGCGGCCTCCCTATTAAATGAAAGACCATTTGGCAATCTCCTTGATTAGTTTTATTATCTTCTTATTTATGTTTATTTTAGAATTATTTTCTTTCCATGTTTAGATTAGATATAGTTGGTAAGATTGTAAATTTGTAGGGACCCGTTTGCCTATACATGTAACTCAGGGGTTGAAGATTGAATGACAAGAATTTTGAGCATTCCCTCTCAAGTTTTTCTTCACTGACAGATCACATTAAATTAAAGAAAATACATATTCTTAAATCGAAGCAAAATGATGGGCATTTAATCATCCAATAGCTCAATTATAATATTTCACTTCAAATCGGTTGTACTTACACCACATTTCATTCTTCTCCCACTTTGAAGACCATCTGTTCCTGTTTGGATGAGCACTCTTTAAACAGCTATACCAAACATTGTTATATGATTTATTGGTCTTAAATGCAAATTTTGTGTTCATCATATATAGATTTCTTTTATCATTTTTAACTCTTTGCTCTCGATGAGTTGACCAACTGCTCAATTAGTTGAGGATATATTCGAGAATGTGATCATTATGTCTGTATTCATCATATTGGATATACTTTCAAGCATTAACCATTGTATTATAGGAGACATCCATGCGTTCTCTATATTTAGAGTTTTTTTTACCTTCAATGCTATGATATATGAAGATTTAAAAGAGCGCACTCATTTGTTAGTTTTAGGTGGACTAAAAAGTGGGATTGCATCTTCTAACTAACACTTCAATATTTGAGCATCCTTGGAACCACTATCACCTACATCCTATTTGTCAGCAGCATTATGTTTATATATTGTATGTTTACAATAACATCTGCATACGAAAGATGATGGATTGACACATTGCGTCGTCATCATTTGTACAATCATCTGCAATTGATCTTTTTAGGAGCATAGATATCTCATTTAAGTGAGAAGCAATATCAAAATTTATTTATATTTTTGTTGGAGGAATTTATATCGTGTACTATGCTCCACCAAAGTGGCACATCACCTCTAATTGTAAATAAAGTCGAATCTTATCAATGGAAATGTTTATTTGAACTATAATCATTTACCCTGTTTCCTAGTAAATGTTCAAACAACTTAATTGTCTTCTTTTTATTCTTGTCCATTTAGCATTTGCATGTTGATATTTTCTTCACCTATAAAAAAATATTTAGTCAAGATACCACCATATGATTCAAAGGGAAATATGCTTAAATCATATTTGAATCACGATCGACTATGGCTCGGTTGTTGATCTTTGATTTTTGATTGAGATCTTCTCAGTGTCCCGGGTATGATTTTTGATTGAGATCTTCTCAGTGTCCCGGGTATGATTGGAGATATAGAGTGATTGAGTTCTCCCTTGGGTTGGCTTCTTTGTGGTGATTGACTTGGATACCTTATCTCGACTATGACAAGTCCACAAAATTAACACAGATATATTTCTCATCTGCAATATTAATAGATATATATTTTTTTAATAAATAAATGTCAAATATTAAGAGGAACATAAAATCAAATTGTAGTAAAATAATTGTGATGAACAAAGTAGTGATCGTGCGTTAAAATTTACTTTTTGACTGGAGAGTTCCGTATACATTTCCGCTTACGGCTGGGCGCCTTGCTTTCGGTGTCACCTCTCCACCGATTGAGCTTGGCCTTCTTCCAGTCGATTCCTTAATTATTCAAAAAGTACAAACACGCAGCTATAACTTTGCTGATATTCACAGCCATTCGTATGCAACGTGTCCCCCCATATTTAAATATCATGATGATATTGTTCTTTTTTATGCTACCATTATCTTCTCATTAGCATTGAGTAGTCCACCCAATGAGATGTTGACACGTCACTTTGTCCTTATGGGGCCCACATGCATTGATGAATACAAAAAATTATCTGCAAATGATAATATACTTAATTAATTTTTTTATTCAATTTGAAGAGGCTAATAAATAATATTAAACTTTAATAATTAAATATAGCATCCCATAGAGTTTTTAGATTTTAGTAAAAATATTAAAAAATATACTAAAAAAACTATAAGCATACACTTATTGTATTTATAAAGGGCACTGAGATTTGAAATTGGAGTGAGCTTGAAAAATTAAATAACTCTACTAGAGCTTTGGCCGATAAGTAATGCTGGTAATTGTCGTCGTCAAACTACTATGTTCTTTTGGTTGTTATTGACACGCATCATCACTCTCAACTACCTCTATGACAATTATAATAAACCAGGCATGGTTAACTTTTTAATCTCGTCTTCCTTAATTATGAGAAATATCATATTGTTTAATCTCACATTCATAGTAAAGTATTTCAATTAAGTCAAGCTTCGGATTCTTTTTTTTTTATGGATTTTCATGTCAAATATTTAGCATCTCCTAGTTTTTTTTTTTTTTTGAAGAAAATTAGATCATTTCTCCATTTATACATGTCATCCTTAAGAGGCCATGCTAATCTTCTCCGTATCGTTCCAATTTTATCGAACGAATGACTCGTATGTTCTTTTCATTTATCTATTTGTGTTGGGAAGAATGCAGAACCTTCTCAAATTCCTTTGAAAATCTAACACGCCATGAGAAGAAGCTATTGAGATATTTAGGGAATGTGATTATCATACATATGCAAATAAAAATGTAATATCTTTTGGGAAGTTATACTATTCACCATTGATAATACTTAATTTATTTTTATTTTTTTATTGTTTTCTCTTTGAATTTATACATAAACTTACATTCTCCTGTAAATAGAAGTGTAATTCTCTCCATTATAATCAGAGTTTATTTCTAAATTGGCAGCCTTTTTTCTAGTGAATCTCTCAACGTTATTCAACGATTAGCTTTACTGTCGAGCACCAAAATCAACCCAGTATTCTTCACATTTGACAAATTTTAATTCATAAAATCTGAAAAAAAAAAAAAAACTTATATAATTTAATCCATGGTGATGTTGAAAACATCATTTTGTGGGCAGACCACTAAGTATTTTATTTATCTATTTATTCTCTTCACCTGCCCTTCCTTCACCTTACCCCATAATAAATTCAAGTTGTCATAAAGTTTTCCTTCGATTTATTGAATATCATGAAAGGTATCTCTCTGCAATTTATGTCATAAAGTTTTCCCTCTGTTGCTATCCTCTCCTCCCTCGCTTGCTACTATTGTCAACTGCCTGCCACCGTTGGCTCCGATCGGCGG